TATATCAAATTTAAACACAAAATAAATTGCAAAGAAATATTCAAGGGAATGTCTTATAATTTTTATTATCACGACATTAACAAAAAATGGCAATATCTTTCTTAGTCTTCTTCCCTCCAATAGAATGAGCACAACAAGGTACTAATACCACCATTAAAAGAAAAAAAAACTAAGGAAGATGTGCCAAAATACATGTTACATATTAGTCTATGTATTATCTCTAACAAATTTCATAAATCCTTTAAGGTCCGGAGGAATTTCCGTTGGTGGTGGCGGAAAAGAAGCTTGTTCATCACCGCTTCCGAGCGAAGCAGCATCCTGCACAAGTTCCGCTAGCATTTCTTCATAAGCTTCGTCTATCTACGGTTGTGATTCTGCAAGTCCAAAATTTCTCCTTTCCGAACGGATCCAATCTCTAAAGAGTACTGATTTTTCCAAGCTCTCCCTTATAGACGCTCTATGATCACCGATTTGATGTATCGCTTGACTGAAAGCGCTCTCCGATGCCACTGTTGAAGCTTTAACACTTAAAATATCTCGAGCCATCCTTGAAAGAACCGGATAGTATTTTTGTTTGTCCTTCCACCATTCCAAAACATCAAAGGAGCTATCGAGATTCTCTTATTCAAGTCCCTGCGACAAATAAACTTGAAGCTCATTTAGTTGTGAACTATCACCAATATTATCACCTTGAGAATCCCTGAACTCCGTCCAAGCACTAAGGGCTTTAGGCCCGCAGTTCTTTTAGTTGATTGCGAACTAGTAGATCTTTTATTTCAAATTCTTTCTTCAAACAGTCTACTGCTTTTGGAAGCTCTCCAAGAGTTCCAATGATATTTAAATCATCAACATACACAACGATTATAACAAATTCAGATCCAGACCTTTTTATAAAGACACAAGGATAAATTGGATCATTTTTGTACCCTTCTTTCAACAGGTACTCACTTAGGCGATTATACCACATGCGCCCTAATTTTTTCAATCCATATAAGGATTTCTGAAGCTTTATTGAACATCTCGAAAACTTTTATATACTTCAGGCACTTTAAATCCTTCAGAAATTTTCATAAAGATTTCATTGTCTAATGAGCCATACAAATAGGCTGTGACAACATCCATTAGATGCATATCAAGTTTTTCATGCACTGCCAGATTTATAAGATACCTGAACTTGATAGCATCCACCACAGGAGAATATGTCTCCATATAATCAATGCCGGATCTTTGCGAAAATCCTTGTGCCACAAGTCGTGTTTTATATTTAACGACTTCATTTTTATCATTTCGTTTTCGCACAAAAACCCATTTGTACCCTACTGGCTTTATACCTTCAGGTGTTCGGACTATGGGTCCGAAGACTTCACGTTTTCCAAGTGAAGTTAACTCTGCCTGTGTCTTTCCATTTTGGCCAATCATTTATCTGTCTACATTCATCGACAGATTTTGGTTCAAGATCCTCATCTTGTTGCATTATTTCAACAGTAACATTATAACAAAAAATGTTATCGATAACAATATTTTTTCAATTCCATCTTTTTCCCATTGAGACGTATGTCGACGCCCCCTTTTTCTATGGGTCGAAATCGGGTATACGACATTGGGAGGACAACTCTATTCCCTTTCGAGAATTGGGTTTTGGAATTTTGAAGAGTCGCCACCTAATGATTATAGTGCATTAGGACACTTTAAGAAAGTTTTAAGTTGGAAAAACCCAGAGTTCGGGTAAGGGCTAAAAATTATCTCGAGGGGAAGGAGTTAGGTACCCCTCAAGATCCACTAGTGTGGTCCCAGCCATGTTACAATTGTGACTTTACAAGTAAACAATCAAAACTCAAATAAGGACTTGCATACAACATTGCAATTAGGTTGAAAACTTTTGAAGATAAGTAGAGAGGACAGGAATTTATGGAAAAAAAAGATTTGAATGGTTTCACGAGAAGAGATGAAAGCAAATAAGGGGAAGGGGGTCCTAGGTTTACGATTAATATGGATCACTTAAGTAGGAGTTGGAACATTTGGTCTAGCATGATCTAAGGCAAGTTGATAAACATTATAAATTGTTTGAGCATTTACTTTAATTGAGGCTTTTGCATTTCCAAGTGTAGCAAATTCCTCATCTGAAAGTAATAAACATCATAAATTTTTGTGTACCAAAAGTGAGGACCTCCTAATTTCATTGTAGGATTTAACATGACAGCAACACCAAAAATAGGGGGGATATGAAAAAAATATTTTTTAAACTTATCTTTCATAGAATTAATAGCAAGTTGATAAATTACTCCACCCTCTGAAAATTGAGTAAACAAATCTGCAAATGCTGCAATATAAACTAAACAGTTAGAAATAGTAGGATAATATTGCCTAGATAATTCATTTATAGCAACATGAAATTGTTCTAAAAAGCCTACAAGCATTTTAATATTAGTCCAATCCTGATTTGAAAGGTGCTCATCATCACCACTAACACGAGCATTATACGTTGCGTTTATTGGGTTTCTATATTCATATGCAACAACTAAACTTTCATATATGTAATTCCATCTAGTCGGACAAGGTTTATGAACCTTTCGTTCTCTAAGACCAAATTCATCACATTTTTTAAAATATTCTCTAAGTCTACTTCTACGGTTTGAATAAAAAAGCCAATTAAGAGCCATTTTAACCTTTTCAATTTCCACATTTAAAATTTTTATACCATCACCGACGATTAAATGGTAAATATGCCAAATACATATGACATAAAAAATATTACTAAATGCAGGATTTAGTGTAGTTGTAAGCAAGCCTATAGCATTAGTGTTACTAGAAAAATTATCCATTGAAATCGACATTATTTTATCTCTAATGCAAAAATATCTACAAAAATCTGCAACTGTGTTAGCAATAAACTTACCTGTGTGGCGTGAATTAATTATTCTATAAGTAATAATGCGCTTTTGCATTATCCAGTCCTCATCAATCCAATGACTTGTAACAGTTAGATAATCACAGTCATTACCACTTCTACCAATATCAGTAGTAATAGCAATGCGACAATCTATATGAGTAAATAAATAGCGTAGATATTATTCATATTCATGTTTATATTTATAAATATCGCTCTTTACGGTTGCGCGAGGCCATCCTTTATAAGTAGGATTAAAAGCTCTTTTAATATAATGCACAAAGTGAGGGTTAGAAGGAAAACTATAGGGTAAGCACACAACAGTAACCATTTTTGCCAATTCTTCAAGATCTTTATTTGGATCATAATATAAAATGCCACCGGTAATAGTGTTAATTTCCGGTTGAACTAGATTTGACCCTGTACTAGGGTTAACCTCAGTATCTAAACTTCTGCCCTCTTGCGCAGCTTTCATTTGTAAATATCTAGCTTTATCTCTAGGGTGTTTCTTTATATGTCTAGTCAAAGTACTCGTACCGCTACGGTCTCCAGTATATTTATGAGCCATCAAAGACCCACAAGTTTTACACTTAGCCTTATTTTGTTCTCTTAGTTGAGTAAAAAAGTGCCAAACAAGAGATGTTTCGGTCCGTTTAGAAGGTTGTCTATTAAAAGCAGGGGTTACTACAGGAGGGTCAAACGGGGCATCATTTGGATTATTATCAATTGGGTTATTAACAGGACTAGTAGGTGTATCATCTAAATCCGGTTGCATTTCATCTAAATCATCATTTTCCTCATCATTTTCAAAGATAATTTGATTAGGATAAAGAGCATTCATAACTTCATCATTTAATTGTTGACCTGGTGCACTATCATGGCAAAATTGACTATCGAAAAATTAAAAACAAGGGTTATCACTATCAAGAATAACAGGTGGAGGAGGACGGGTAACAGGTCTGGGTCGGGGAGCCGGGGAAAGAGTAGTAGTTTGGCGACTAGATTCACCAATTTTAGATTTTCTCTTACCCTTACCACCAAATATTTTTTTCAAAGAAAAGTCCATATTAATTATAATTATACTAACTAAAACAAACAAAACTATAATATTAAAACTTAAGAGTTAGAACGAGTTTGCCGAATTGACGAACAACTTCTTGAAAATTGAATATCGTTGAAGACTTGAATACTTCAATTCACCAACTAAACAAATTTTCACAAAATTGCAATAATAAAGTAAGCAATTATAGAAGAAAATTAGAGAGAGATTGATGAATTTGCGAGTGAAAATGAAAGAATTATGGAGTATTTATAGTTGAGAATAGGGAAAAGTGTAATTATAAAAAGTTTGGGGTTAAAACAAAGTTTGTGGGCCAAATGTCTATTTTTTAAAACGCCAAACGGCTAAAATTGCAGGCCAACTGCTAGTTTTTAAATTTCAGACCGTTGGCCTTTTTAATTTTTTTTTAAATGGTCCCGGGCTCGCGGTCTATTTGGTGAGGACCGGCCCACATTAGGCTTTTAGGACCGTTAGGGACCGGCCCGTTTGCTAGATTTCCCGGACTGGGCCCGACCCACAATACACCCTTACCTTGGTTTCACACATAATTTTTCAATTTTCCAAAATTTTCCCTCCACCTTAGACTCTTGTCGCTTGGCCCAAAATCGTTCATAACAAAAGATCGTTCAATTATTATAGTGTCTTCATGAACGAAGTACATTTCAGATATTGGATATATTAAAATATCTGAGGAACATATATATCAACAGGCCTCCGTAGCATAGTGGTAGTGCGTTCGCTTCGTAAGCGAAAGGTCGCGAGTTCGATCCTCGCCGGGGGCTCCTTATTTAATTTCTTATTATTCCTTGGCTGTTTCATTTTTTTTTTGCCTGGCTTTACATTTTCCAGATTTTGTTTCAGGTTCGTAAATTGTTCAGATATTCTCCAATTAAATTTGTTCAATCTTGAAAAATCAAAAGTCCATATTTTAGAATGGCACTACTTATACCTTTGGTTCAAAAACCAATCCAACCATTAATTCCTTTTCCTTCTTCCATTCCCAACCCTTTTAACCTAAACCAAAGCAAAAACAGAACTCAAATGTGCCTCCATTCCCACCACTTCACTCGAAGAACAAGTCTAAATCTTGGTGCAACTTCATTCATTCTTTTAAGTGAAAAAACTGCCAATGCCTTTGATTTCAGAATCACAGTTCCTGACCAGACACTTGAAGAAGCAGAAAATGGGATTCAAAGCCATGCAAAGAGTTTATTACAAGTCAAAGAATTGTTAGAGGCAGAAACATGGAAAGAAGCTCAAAAGGCTTTGAGAAAAAGCTCAGCTTTACTTAAACAAGATATCTACACCATCATCCAAGCTAAACCAGGAAAACTGAGGCCTGAGTTGAGGAAGCTTTACTCCATTTTGTTCAATACTGTTTCAAGATTGGATTTTGCAGCTAGGGATAAGGATGTGCCACGTGTATGGGAGTATTATGATAACATTGTCCTAGCCCTTAACAATATTTTGTCAAGACTATAGTTTTATATAGTCATGCAATTAATTTTTAAATTGTGGGTCGTTCTTTTTGATTCATGTTCTGTTTGTTACTAGATGTATGACGTGAGCATATAATTACCTTTCAATTTCATCCTTGAGATACAGATTAAATCACCCAAAAGATATGTATATAAAATTCTCCATAAAAAAAAGTAAAATTTGTAAACTTAAAAATAATGAAGATTACCTGTCAGGTTAGAATTGAAATTAAGTTACTCCTAATTTCTTGAATTGCTGAGAAATAGAGGATATTAGATTTTCCTTATGATTGATACATTTAGAGCCAAAATTGATTGTTCTAATTCTTATGTAATTTACAAAAAAACATCTTGATAAGATGTACTGGACCATGTAGTTTGCATTTTGTTTGATTACGCTATTTTGGCAGATTTTACAATTGTTTAGTACACTCTTCGTTCAATTTAGTTTTTGAATATTTTAATTTTAATTTTATAATACTAAGTTGAACTACTCTAATTTAGCTTTAAAATTTTGTCAACTTCAGTGGAATTGTTGAACCATAAAGTTTTGGAATTTGTGGTCCACAACTGTCTTTCTTTCTCTAATTTTCTTTGTTCAAACTTGGTTGTTTTGTTTTTCCTTTCAATTACTCCATTAGACTCGAGCGAGTAAGGAGATGTTACTTCGTGCATTATTCCTTTTTTTTCTTTTAAAGAATGGGTCAGAATTAAATATTCTCTTCTACTATCAAATATAGAATTGTAACAACTATAGGGGTATCAAATTATTGAGTCATACCATGAAAGTTTGGGAGAGAGTGGTGGAAATGAGAGTGCGAAGGACGCTATTTATTTCAGAAAATCAGTTCGGGTTCATGCCGGAGCGATCTACCACATAAGCTATCCACCTTATTAGGAGGATGGTGGAACAATACAGGGATCGGAGGAATGATCTCCACATGGTGTTTATTGATCTGGAGAAAGCGTACGACAAGGTTCCTAGGGAGGTCTTATGGAGCTGCTTGGAGGCTAAAGGGGTTCCGGTTGCCTACATTAGGCTGATTAAAGACATGTATGATGGAGCTAAGACTCAGGTTAGGACAGTAGGAGGCGACTCCGAGCACTTGCCGGTTGTTACGGGGTTGCACCAAGGGTCTGCGTTCAGCCCATTCCTATTTGCCCTGGTGATGGATGCACTAACTCATCATATTCAAGGAGAGGTGCCATGGTGCATGCTATTTGCTGATGACATAGTTCTAATTGATGAGACACGAAGCAGCGTCAACGAGAGGCTAGAGGTTTGGAGACATGACCTTGATTCTAAAAGTTTCAAGTTGAGCAGGACGAAGACGGAATACCTTGAGTGCAAATTTGGGGTCGAGCCAACGGAAGCGGGAGTGGACGCGAGGCTTGACTCTCAAGTCATTCCCAAGAGGCATAGTTTCAAGTACCTTGGGTCGGTTTTTCAGGGGATCGGGGAGATCGATGAGGATGTCACACACCGTATATGGGTGGGGTGGATGAAGTGGAGGTTAGCATCGGGAGTCCTGTGTGATAAGAAAGTGCCACCGTTACTAAAAGGTAAGTTTATAGAGCAGTGGTTAGGCTTGCCATGTTGTATGGGACTGAGTGTTGGCCGGTTAAAAACTCACACATCCAGAGATGAAAGTAGCAGAGATGAGGATGTTGAGGTGGATGTACGGGCATACAAAGATGGATAAGATTAGGAATGAAGAAATTCGAGAGAAGGTGGGCGTGACTCCCATGGAGGATAAGATGCGGGAAGCAAGACTTCGATGGTTCGGGCACATTCACAGGAGGAGCACTGATGCACCGGTGAAGAGGTGTGAGCAACTGGTTATGGTGGGTACGAGGAGAGGTAGAGGGAGACCTAAGACGAATTGGGGAGAGGTGATCAGGCAGGACATGACGCGACTTAGAATTGCTGAGGACATGACCCTTGACAGGGAATTGTGGAGGTCGAACATTAAGGTTGTAGGCTAGGGGGAAGTTGTGAATATTTCTACAGCGCACTAGAGTGAGATTAGACAGTTAGGAGTTAGTTTTAGGATTCTAGTGGTAATCTACTGATGCAGGGCTTTAGCTACTGGTTATTATTATACCTTCCATCTATTTCATATTTCTTATATTGATGTTATTTTATTATGATTCTATTGATGGTACTAATATATCGTCTCTTGTTGCTTTCTTAAACCGAGGGTCTCCTGGAAACAGCCTCTCTGCCCCTCGGGGTAGGGGTAAGGTCTGCGTATATATTACCCTCCCCAGACCCCACTTGTGAGATTATACTGGGCCGTTGTTGTTGTTGTTGTTGTTGTTCTACTATCAAATATAAATCTCTTTATCTTTTTACTAAGTTGATTTTCCATCTCAGCTTTATAAAAAATAAAAGCATTAAAGATATTATCTTTATGACTAAGTAAATAATTAAGAAAAATCAACAATAAATATTACATAATACTGTTTAACAACTTTGTTTCTCTATTTATAAAAAAATAATTTTTTTTTATACTTTTAGCTTCAGTACATATTTCACACTTGTTGGTATTATTTGAATCTAACCATATACTTAACCTAGACTCAAGATATAATGGAGCTTGTATATTAGTGCTATCTTTTATTCAGCTATAGGCATGGATGATTAGAATTTAGATACATATATACTGTATGGGTGAACATCATCTACATCCCCAAACTTTGTTTTAAAAGTCAAACTCCTTCTTCTACTTTGAACAATTGTAATTCTCCCCCATTTGTCAGTTAAATTTTTTAAATACCTATTTTAACTTTTATAAAATCAACATTTATCTCTTTTTGTTTTTAATCTTTTACCTTTTTAGCATCATGATATTTTTTTCTTTCCTAAAATATATGCTATGTACCTATATAACAACTAAATTTAATTTTCAAATTGAAAAAGTAAAAATGATAATCAAGCATATAATTTAATAACATTTAATAATAAAAAGGATTAACAAAATAGAATTTAAAAGAAGATAGTTTAATCTTATAAATAATATTATTAAATAGAAATTCAATTTAAAAAATTCATTTACACAATTAGGGGTGACAAAATGGTTAAACGAAAACAGTTAACCACCCATATTATCCACTTAAAAATGGGTTGGATAATGAACTTTTTAAAAACGGGTCAAATATGGATAAGAACCATATTATCCATTTAGAAAATGGATAATCAATGTGTAACCAATGGATAACCAATGGGTCTAACTTTTACATTTGTAAAGCCTCAAATTGAGGGTTCCTCAAGTTAGGGAGACTAAGAATTCTGCCAAAAGTGATCATATACAAGAAGTCATGGATAATATGGGTAACCCATATTATCCGCTGGTTAACCCGTTTTTTATCCGTATTAAATATGGGTCGGGTCGGATAATTGATTTATTTTTTCATTATCTATTTTCGACCCGAATCATATCCGACCCGACCCTCCCGTTTGCCACTCCTATACACAATCAAGAATAAAAATAGTGAAAACCTTATAAATATATGCTCAATATAGGTAATACAAAATCTTATAATTATTAAAAATAAAGGCAGATTTTATAACAAACATCTAAAAAATTATCTATTTAACACTAAGAAAATATAATTCAGAGATATACTTAATGCGCGTTATATTAAATAAAAATCATAAAAGTATAATAGATTTTGTGACAAATTTATAAAAAGGAATATTCTATTTATAATTTTAATAAATGTAAATTATAATGTATAATTTAAATTATAGGTAAAATCATAAAAATAGCATATACAATAAAAAAGGGATTGAGGATGGAATTAAAAATAACAAGGGCAATATAGACATTGTGTAGGATAAAAGGGGGAGAATGATAATTGTTCATAGTTGAAGAGGGAGTTTGATTTTTAAAGCGAAGTTAGGGAGTGTAAATGATTTTCACCCTATATATATAGAGTATGGATCAATTTAGTTCACTTCCAATTAAGCAAAACATACAATTTATGGAATCTTCTCCGTAGAGTAATTTAATTTACTCCTCTTTTTTTAAATTCTTTTTAAATGGATATAGTTATAGCTAGGGACTAGCTATCAAGATGAGAAATTCATTAATTCTACAGATTGAATCAGCTTGGGTCTGGGTTCAAGCAAATGGACCACACCGAAAAGAGCCATTAGATATCTTAATTAACTACTTTTTCCTACTAGTTTTTCTTTTTCTTATATCCACCGAAAAGAAAATATACAAAACGATCAAGAGTATAAGTAATAAGATTAATCCATTACACCACCGGGTGCATATTAGAAAAGATTTAACTTAGGCACATTCACAATATAAAGAATTTTGTCACTATTGGTATATTTCAAACTTGTCGCAGTAGGATAACATATCTTAGCTAGAGTTTGGACATAAATTTGGTTGAAATTTAAAAAAAAAAGTTTTTGAAGTTGTGTTGAAAAATAATTTTTGGAAGTCGAAGTTGTGTTTGGACATGTATTTTATTTGAATTTTTTTTTTTGAAATTCTATGAGTGGAAGAAAAAATTTCACCCAAAAACTCCCATAAACCAACTTGAAAATGTTTGAATTTCCCCCCTCCAAAATATGATCATATTTCATAAACAAACAATGTTTTCAAAAAAAAAATTGAAAAAATGAAACCAAAATCTATGGCTCAACAGGAGCTATTTTTTATATAAGTTATATACTAATTTCACTTTTTATATACTTACTTGTAATTATCATGTTGGGGTAATCTAGCTAATAGTGCATAAATTCTCTTACACTTTAAATGTCAAGAAGTTCACGTTAAAATATTATAACAATGATCATATATATAATTGGAAATATAATTTCATCTTAGGTGGGACAAAGGAAATATAATTAGATGGTACGACTCTTCTCCAAACTCTGCGTAGAACGGAAACTTAATGCATCGGACTGCTCTCCCACGCAAAGCAAGATTTCATTTTTCACGATCTACTCAAAAATAAATTGTCTCCTTATCACGTGCATGTCCTAACTTCTAATAAAAGCAATACATTTCTTTTCTAAAGAGGACCACAAAAACCTTTTTCTACTTTAGAAAAAGGGCACCTTAGCCCAAGTTGGAGTTTTGCAGCAGCTGTGGCCATTCTTTAAAAAAAAAAAAGTTCTTGGATCTAGTGAATTCAGTAGTACTGATGCAATCCAATCTCTGTCCATTGCTTATCACCTTTCCCTTTCACACACTGTCATGCATAGAAGAATTATAGATTCCACATACCTCTCCTTTTCTTGCTTCCATGCTTGTACTCATTCATATGTATAACCTTCCTTTTCCTCTCAAGGCTTCTTTGTTTCTAGGGTTTCTTTTTAACTTGTCTGTAGTACAATTATACACAGGGGCGGATTTAGAAGGCGGAAGGGGGTTCACCCGAACCCCCTTCGCCGAAAAATTACACTGTATATTAATGCTGCTCGGTGGGCCGGGCCTGAACCGGACCGGACCGGGCCCGCGGTCCTAACGGGCNAGTAGGCAACCATTTAGGTTAATCTATAAATAACCTAGTGTTACATATTTATTGTATTGCAAGTGATTTTTTCTTATAACAGTGATGGTATATATTCATGTAAATTTATGTTCATCTTGACCATTCTCTCAAATATTTGTTATCTGCTACTAACATAAATATTGGGTAACGATCTGTCAAGGCTTAAGTTAATAGAAAGAAATTATCAGTGTTTTTTTTTATTGGGGGTATTTGTATATATACCTATTTTTTGGGTTACGTTTTAATTTGTGCTCGCTTTACAAAAAAAATTGCAAGCGTACCCACTTTTTCGCGTAACTTCAGCATACGAGCCTGAAGTATCAAAGGCGATCACGCAAAACTTCAGCATTCTAGTAGACGGGTCTGAAGTAGCAAAAATTGCTGAACCAAGTGTGCTGAAGTTTTTGTTTGTAATTGCTGAACTTAAGCATAGTAGCTGAAATTTTGTTCTCTATTTGCTGAAGTTTTTGTTTGTAATTGTTGAACTTCGGCATTGTAGTAGCTGAAGTTTTGTTCTCTATTTCTTGAACTTCAACATGTTTTAGCTGAAGTTTTGTTCTATATTTGCTGAATTTCAGTATGTTTTATGCTATCATGTAATTGATTTTTTGTACAAATATATTATCTTAAGTAGAATTAGTAACTTAAAAAACTAGATAATAATTTAGCACAACAAGTTAAAATGCATTGATAATGTACAAAGCTGAATCCAAAAAGAATAATAGAATGTGAATTAAAGGAAATAGACTTACATTTACATACATGTACGTACCAACTTTAGAAAGTTATTTATAATTTGTTTTTAAATAATTTGATAAACATATTTATGGCAATCATCCCCACGAACTGAAGTTTCATAGCAACACCAACAACAACAGAAGAAAAAAGAAGGAGAAGAAGAAAACGAAGGAGGACAAAAAAGGCTGAAGTTGTTTAAAAAATAAGTACAAGTTAAAACTTTTAAAAAAATGGGTATAGGTTAAATGGGGGCGACCAAATAGGACGTCCCGTGCAATTTTTACTTTTTTATTTATATGTTTTTAATCCGGACCCTACCCATTGAACATTATGCATATTGATTTTCTTAATTAACTTTCTGGTTTTAAAGGAGAATCAAAACGATTGATTTAAACATAAAAGAAAAGATTGTCACTAGGTTTTAACCCAGTGATCGGACAAACCAAACCAGACAACTCAACAGTGTTCTATCTCTAGTTTAACGGCAAACGCTAATTTATTAATTATTGATAGTAACTTACGAGCAAATAGCTAGGAGGTGGCTTTTATCGTGCACGCATTGGCATATGTTTAACCAAAAATATGTCTTTCTGTCAAAGTTTAATTTTAGAAGAAAACGGGTTACTGATAATCAAGTTTAACTTCACTTTCTCAATGGCATCAAAGGAAAATAATAAGAATAACTAAGGAAATAATTGATTGCAAAGTCAAGGTAGAGAATTTCGAGAAAGTAGAAAAGTAAAGTGTATATTTTAATATTGTCTCATATGTGTCTTTACAAATAATATCATGTGCCCTTATATAAGAATGTACAATAGTAACGGTTTTTCCTCATAATTTGAGCTAATTATGCGCATTAATGATATTGATTGCCCATTATTTTGGATTCTCATAACCGATGCATTTATTGCTATAAATGCCTTACATCTGTTACGATTCACCTTCCTTATTTCTTTCCGATCCATGTATCTTTCCTTCTTTCTACTATTTATTCATTCTTTGCCAGCTGTTAGGTCCGGTACTGTCTCGTGGGTGTTTCTTCCCGTGTTTTTTCTTACTCTATCAAATAAGACTGCCACGTATTGCTATATTATTATTCTACACGTTATGCCATGTCAGCAGTCTAATATTCCACGCCACCAATACAGCATATATATAAGACTGCCTATATGGCTACAGACTACATTATGCTACTATCAAGTTGGTTACTAGAGAGTTGAGACTCGAGAATACTTAGGTTGCAAAAAGGTTATATAGTAATATAGTAAAGAATAATTACGCTTTTTCGCAGGCAGTTTAAGAGATGGCAGATCATGAAATTCAACTCCTATCCGTTTTGTACATTCTTTCATCTAAAAGTTCGAATAAAATGTACTCACAATTCCAAGATTAATTATGCCTATCACAATAAGTCGTACGTGAACAGCTTTTGTTCAATTATAGTGAAGAGTTTACATTTTTTTACCCTAGATATTGAATCATTAATCTAGATACAATTTACAGATTCTTAATTATATTAGAATTGATGGCATAAGAAGACGCCAATTACCTCATAGCTCCTTGAATAAATTGGATTTTTTATTAAGAAAACGAAAGTAAATACTATATATTATGTTAACTCATGCTACCCGCATAAACTCTTTTGCTACTTAAAGCTAGTTTGGGAATTTGTGATTCAATTAGTGTAATATACGATCATATATAAATTTCTTTTTGAAAGGGTTTTAATTTTGGTCAACTTATGTTCATAAAATCACAGACTAATTGGATATTATTGGAGAAGAATTTGTTAGGTGTTTGCCATAATTTTCTTACCATATTTGGTTTTCCTATTTGTTGAAGGAAAGGGCAATATAATTACCTTAATTGAGTTTTCCTTTTTGTAGAAGGAAATTATAATTCTCCTATACTTGGCTAGTCCTTTTTCTTGTAGAAAAAAGGTTTGGAGTTCTATAAATTGAAGATCTGTCCTTCTCATTCAGTAGCATCCACAATGTAGCCATAGGGGCTTGAGAGTAGTATTTAGGGGGAGAACTTTACGGGACAAGTGTTAGTGTGTCACTTGTGTTTACCTTTTTGTGAGGTTGTTCTCTCGATATTTTGTACTCTTTTTTATATAGTGGATTGCTCATCTCCGTTGTGGATGTAGGTCAGTTGACCGAACCACGTTAAATGTTTGTGTCTCTTTTGGTAGATTTCTCTTTTGTTGTCGGACTTATTGTTGTTCAAGTCTGCTTTGCTAGCTTGCGCATAACATGTAGCATCCACAATGTAGCTAGGGTTCTCAAGTTCCAGAAATCAACTTTTACCAGTACTACTCTAGCTAGCTAGGTAAACAATGTATCACAATGTACTATTCTTCCGACTCTCGTTAGTTTTTTGTGATTACTGCTTGAAAAACAATCATTTTGAGCTACTTCATATTACTCCCGTACACTTGCCATGAAATATGCTTTCAACATTACACATTATTTATAAGGGGAGCAAAAAGTAAAATAGAAAAAAGAAAGAGAAGAAAAAGGGAAGATGTTCACATTATCCGTACAGTTTAGTACACAACCTTCCATTGTTCTATGAAGAAAGCTTTGCAGCACAACATTAAATTGTACTACTTACATCCATAGAAATTTAAATGACTAGTAAATATATTCTTATAGATATCTTGCATCAAACACCAAAAAAAAGAAATATAATTTGGCAATTGCTCGTTAATGATCTTAAGAGTTAAGACTCCTACTAGCAAGAGCATATAACTTTGAGACAAGAAGTAACTATTTCCTGTTTGCGAAAGAATAATGAGGAAATTTACAACTTTGTCTAAATCTTGGATATGCATGAAAGAAATATTCGTAGATGTCAAAAGGGAAGTTTAACAGTTGCATGCATGCATCAATAAAAGCTTCAGGTAGATGAAGCAGAAGCTATAATTATTTGGCAATCAGAGGCTCTCATAATTTGACAATTATGTGATATCGGTCAGACTGAACACAGCGAATGAGCTTAGCTTCTTAATGTGGCGATATCATATTTCTAATTTCTAAGAACTGAAAAGTTCAAGTAAATATTAAAGAAGATGAAGTAAGGTCTATTATTAGTGCACAGCTAAATATGATATGTTCCATATATTTTATGGAGAAGTATTTAATTTCCTTAATTAACAGAAGTAGCTTGAATCTTTTGGTCTTCACTACAAGAAAAATTGGAATCATTAACAAGAGAATCAGTTTGTAAATTGGGTTACTAACGGGTTTGAATCCGTTGCTAAAAGGCTCGTTGGTAATATTTACCAACGGATTTGTTCTGTTGGTAAAATTAACAACCACCCGAAACTGATGAATAACCTAATTTATATATATACTATGATTAGCTTGGTTAACGAAAACCATGATAATGATCAGAGAGAAAGAGTGAGATGTATAGCTCATATTTATCAGGTGATCAGTTACAAATTTTAGTTAAACATTCCTTACTTACCTTTAAATTTTGCAAATTGCAGTTTAATTCACTTATAATTAGAAAGGGCTCGAGTATGGCAACTGTTTATTCTAAGAAGAATGCATAATTAACGCTAAAGACAACTTTCGATATGTATAACTAAATAATTAAATCATATTCCAATGGTAAAAGAAGTTACAACCAAAATATAGAATTTATACCACTTCAATAACACCCAAGAAAAAGACAAAAAAGAAGCACCAAGAAACGAGGAAGGAAGAAAAAGAAAAGAAACCACAAAAAAAACTGCAAAATAGAATACTCATTTACCACGCAGTGGTAATGTGAACTGTGTTTTAAATAATAGTATGTTCTGCAGAGAAAAGAAGTAAAACTTTATAAACATATATAGTACTAGAGATAGAATGTCTTACTGCAATATTGATGTACCTCTGATGTAGGAAAGTAGCATAATCTTGTTTGCTCTATCCGGTACATGATCTTTGTCTTTGAAATAATATTGTATTATGCAGAAACGTATAATTTCCCATATTTCTTGGACTTAAGGCTCCAAGCCCCTTAGTTGATACTAGAATTTCTTCCTCCTGATCCAATCTAAATTAATTGTCGCCGCCTTCATGTGGTTGGCTATCATCATCATCTTCTCTTGAATGAATCCATCTTGGATCGTCATTCAGACTGAAGGGTTTGATCAAGTTAAGAGTTGACACTGGTGGATTCGGAAGGACGTGTTGTGAACTTGAGCTTAAGAAATGGAAATGGTTCAACTGCGCCCTTGGATCATTTTCAATGGGATAATTGGTCATATAAGGAGAAATCATAGGTGAAAATGTTGTAGCTGTTGGATTAAAGTATACTTGAGAACCTGAAGGCAAAGACAAGGATGACGCCAATGATAAAGGAAAATTATTTTGGGACGATTCTTCTGTTTGGGGTTGTCCAAAATGAGCTAAAGACAAACTCGAATTAGGCTCCCATGGATAGTAAGAATTGAAAGGCATGCTGTTGTTCATCAGGCCAGGTAAATTAGGAGATCTATTGCCTAATGGAAAGAAACTCTGAGCTGAAATTTGAGGAACATAACCTCCAATTTCCTCTTGGTTTTCTTGCTCATTTGAAGCAATCGACTTGTTTTTTCCATATACTGTGTCTGTATCAATTACCTTGGATTTTGCTCTCAAATTAGCTGCATCAAAATGATGATCGCCTTGGAACTGAGCAAAGTATCCTGGTGGTATCTGTAATGGTGGAAGCTTATCGATTTCATGTTTAGTGACTTCAATTAACCAATCTACAACTTTGCTAGGTTGGCTGAGACCAAGTCTATCTTGAAGATCATACAATTGAATTGCAGTTGGCACTGAAAGCCTAATTCTCCTGTCTCTAAGACCCCTTATTGTGCAGACTTTACTGTGTCTATCTTTTCCACCAAAAGTACGCGATACACGTACAATTCTTGGATTTTTAAAGCCTCCCCACTGCCTTGAACTTGTTGATGTAGTAGCCTTTGAGGTCAATTTACTGTTGTTGGTTCCACCAGATTCTTGCTTCGCCTGAAAACTGTTTCCACTTGAATTCATGATATTATCTGTCGTTCTTCATCCTCGATCTACAATAATCAACAACTAGAAAAGAAAAACAAAAAAGAACATTAAGCACCAAGTAAAGGATAGAAATGAAATTAAAATTAGTGATTTGATTGCAAATTATGCTTCACAAGAAGGAATATAAGGGGATATCCAATCACGAGAAGAGTATACGTGTAAAATTTCTTGTGCAGATTCTAACTTATGTTCAATTTGGATAAATTTCGGAGTTGTGAAGATAATTAGGGTTGCTAGCTCTTGGTGTTTACAACAAATTGAACCTCCAAAATAACTCCGCTAAACCAAGAGTTTGCTGAGGACGACTAATATCTAGCTGGAGATAAGAAATTAAATTACTTCTTTGAATAAACAATCAGAAGGTTAAAGGTCACAAGTTAAACTCACATTAGGTTTTTGCTGCAGATAAAGTTCAATTTGTCTCACAGCCTTGAGAATGGAAGAGCTTTTGATAACGTTACTTCCTCTTATACGCTCAGCCTTGCATCAAAATGGGATGTTAGTGCAAATTTTCTGAAAAGAACAACTCATATACAGAGAATAACCTTACAGGATATAAGTTATAGTTTTGGGGAAAGAAGAAATGTTAATTAGATTCTTACTTTGCCTTATATCATAGAGGAAAGTAGAAGTATGGCAAATCCGTGGCCATGTGGCGCTTACACATGCTGACACGCGTACAGACTTGATAGCTAGAGTTAGTAGGACTAATTTAATTTCGAAGTTGTCTATCTTAGTTTACATTACTATCAGGTCACACAAAAAATATCTACAAGTTTTCTTTTAATGTGAGATTTATTATCTTGAAAATAGAATAAATTACGTATTAGTCTGCTACACTGATGGCACATATAACTTAAACTATTTCCCATATTTAGACTACTACATGAATAAATTGTTTGCAAAATGAATTAGTCAACTGGTCATTCTAACATAGTTTCACATTTTAATTTTCAGTTGTCATATACTATTTAATGATGCTACAAAAGAAAGGTAGACTGTTAACCTCCCATGGACCACCCTAGACTTAGAAAAAGAAAACTACTAGTACAAAAGAAATTATATGGCTAATCATCCTAGTTACTTAATTATTTCATATGCATGCCTTGACAAGTAAAAATGTAAAGAGAGCAGAATAATTAAATCCTTGACAAAAACCAGTACCATATACTATAAAAATTTGTAGGTTTTTGAAACCTTTGAAAGATGCTGACATAATTAATTTACATAATCATGAAAATACGAATGTTCAGTAATTAAATATCATTTAAAATAAAAATTAATTAAATAAACTGGTGGGACAATGGTATCCCAAAGTTGTGGTGCATATATACAGTAGGAGTTCATTAGCTGGATGAGATTATTTAATTGATAGAAGCTGCAGCTATACTTGTAGATGAGGGACCAAACCATATAAAAGTTCTTAAAAGACTTCCCACTTAGTACGTACACACAGAGAAAGGACCACTTCTATATATTTTGCAGTGAGATTTGCATGCAGCAACTTGGACTTTACTAACTTAAACCAGCTACTATTTCATTATCAGGGAATTTTTTTTCATTTTAATTAATTTCTTCACGTCTTTCAGTTTATTAAAGGGTAAAAAGGAACTCCACAAATTCTTAAGATTTACTAATGTCTGAAATAGACTATGTATAAGTTCTCAAAAGCACCAATCTTTTGCAAAAAATCATTATAGTTATTAAAAAAGTAACAGTGTATCTGCAGAAGAATGATCAAATCCCAAATAACTGTTCCATTTAGTAACTGGAGAAGGAAAAGTAACAGTGTATCTGCAGAAATTCAACATATATTTAAAATGCTAATTAAAAAACTTAGCTTGCTGCCCTAAGTGGCGAAGCTAGGAATTTCCTCAAGGATGTTCAAACTTGAAGGAAGCGAAAAAAAAAATCTGACAAAGAGTATTCACTATATGCTATATACCTCTAAAACTTAATATTTTACCTATATATGCAATAAATTTTTGACGAAGAATGGTCAGTTGACCACCCTTCAAGACATGTAGCTTCGCCCTTGGCTGCCCATATATACATATATGTATAGATACAAAAAATAAGTTAAAATATATACATAAAATAAGATCAGACTCATTTTAAAATCACTAACTTTTAATCTTGAATTCGCCTCTGAAACATTAGTTCTAACATTAGTTAGATTAAGAATGTCATTGGTCGTCTATTGATGCAGGGCTTTACCTGCTAGTTTTTACTATACTAGCCATCTATTTCGTATTCTGTATTTCATATCTCTTATATTGCTGTTATTTTATTATACATTTTTATGGTACTAATATATCGTCTCCTGTTGCTTTTTTGAGCCGAGGGTCTCCTGGAAACAGCCTCTCTACCCTTCGGGGTAGGGGTAAGGTTTGCGTACATATTACCCTCCCCAGACCCCACTTGTGGAATTATACTGGGTCGTTGTTGTTGTTGTTGTTGGTCTCTAGAGATAGAAAGATGTATGGATCTTCCCTTAACCACCGTTAAACCCTAACGAAAACAATTAAGAAGATGTTTTTGACAGGCGGCAGCTTTTCTTAATTAGGACTAGAGCTGGCTAAAGTCATAACAGGCCAAAAGCTGATCATTACTGAATTTTGGGTCATAATTGCGCAATTAAGCACCAAATTTTAGAACCCTAGCTAGTTAGCTACAAATCTCGCAAGTTGCTGAAATTAATTTTCAACAAGTAAATGATCCCTAGGTTAAGCAACTATGAACTATATACTTCATTTCCCAATTTCTCACTCTTGCAGATTGAAATGAAACCAAATATAGGGAAGAAATCATAAATGGATGATTACCTCATTGCCCCACAGTTTAAATAAGAAATCATAAATAGAGGATCCCATACAATCTGATATCTTCTGCAGTCCAACAGAATGAATAATGGACTGTGCTACTAACTGCTAACAGCAGCTATTTCAAGCCCACAAACTGTGCGTGTCCCAGCATCATCTTTTCCTTCAGATTATTGGAGCAGTTTTTCATAAGCAACCCCCACTTCCAACCGAGAGGTTGTGAGTTCGAGTCTCCCCAAGAGCAAGATGGGAAGTTCTTGGAGGGAAGGATGTCGGGGGTCTATTTGGAAACAATCTCTCTACCCTAGAGTAGGGGAAAGGTCTGCGTACACACTACCCTCCCCAGATCCCACTAAATGAGATTATAGTGGGTTGTTGTTGTTGTTGTTCATAAGCTCAAAATTGTTGTTCAATTAATTAACCCTCCGTTGCTCTTTTTTAAAAAAAAATAAAAATCGTAAGGAAACATTATGAAAAGCAAAATTTCTCTAAAGAGAGAAGTCTATTAGATACTTAACCAGAGGTTTCGGGTTCAAGTCGTGGGTATAACACCTTTGTTAGAGAGCATTTTACCTCTAATGTGAGACTTCCTAAATCCATTTAGTCGGGTCGATAGAACCTCATTGGTAAGTGCTACAAGATCTCGTTCATTGGAACCCATGGTTATGGACCCAAATTAATCCGTTAGTATGGAACATTTTTTTTTTCAAGCGAATCTCCAATACGGATACCGTACACCGAATAGGAATAACATGATAAGAGGAATAACCATAACTTTCAAAAATTCATCTATTTTTGTGGGGCTGGTTAAACGTTTGCCTGGGGTCTATAGTTAATTTGTACAAAGGCATATATTATTCATTAGAATTTAGATGAGCCAACTAGTCTCATCTCGGCACTAAACTCTGCGCAGCCAACTACAGTTATAATTAATTTGAGTTCCTCATAGACCATTTTCAGCCAAAGCTCTCTAGCAAAGCACTAATTAATAAGGAGTCCTTGTGTGAAAAGAAAAAACATCTACATCTACTTTATTGACCAAACTTAAGGCGAACAAAGTTGGAGTAAGGGCGTATCAGGATAAAGACAGAAGATTAGGATGATGAAGAATAGAAAATTAGGATGTTTCTTTTTTACTTTTGAAAATAATAATACTACTCCATCCGTTTCAGTTTATGTGAACCTATTTCCTTTTTGGTCCGTTCAAAAAAGAATGACTCCTTTCTAAATTTAGAAACAATTTAGCTTAAACTTACAATTCTACCCTTAATGAGAAGCTTTTATAATCACACAAATACTCTGGGCCCCTTTTTGACTTGTTTAGGACCATAAATTCCAAAAGTCTTATTTTTCTTAAACTCCGTGCCCAGTCAAACAGGTTCACATAAATTGGAACGGAGGGAGTAGTTAACCAGGAATTATACAGATGATAATAGAGGCAGTACTAAAATGCTAAGTTGTTGGGACTCGGGTGAGTGTGTCCGATGTGCCGGTCTAGAGGTCGAATCCTTTATTTATCTAAATTTTAAGATTCAGGGATACAGATTCATGTACGGATACAGATGTAGGGATTCGGTTAAAAATAATTCAAATATCTAAAATTAGAGTTATAAAAACATGTCTAAATTATGAGACATTATGTGAAAAATTTCAAGGTATTCCGAGAAGGAGAAAATATTGATCAAGAGGAGAATCCGAGAAAGAGATAAAAAGAAAATAATTGACATAGAAATTTTTACATACAAGGTATTGTATTTTCTTTAATTTTATTTCACCCTAACTTTTGTTTTGATTTGAAAAAAAACATCCTCTCCATCTCGAATTTCTCTGTCGATTTTAGTCAAAGTATCCAAAATCGTTTGACCAGATCCGGTACGGATCCCACACTCACGCTCACACACATGTCGTATCGACATAAATGCGGCATCAAAGGTGAAAAGTCCGAGCAACTTAGCTGAAATATAAAAGAAAATAAGGATCTTGGGGTAGCTCTACTAGTATATATACGTAGTGTCACTTTCAGTTCAGACAGTTATTTTACATAGGCACCCTCAGCCCAATACAGTAATCATAAGTTCCCGACTGCCACACTTCACGATTCACACTTTTACACCTTTCTTCCTTTAATTTCTTCTGAAAGAAAATTGAAAAAGAGGAGAACAGGCAGACGTGATGAATTCAATGATAAATGCACGCGTTCAATTATGCATTACTTTGCAGAAAAAAGCAAACTGCTAGTCCTCCTACATTTCTAGTCATAACCAATTAACCCCACACACACACATCCTAAGACCCTCGATGAGTCAATGGTTAAAAACAAACTTATTTACAAATCGTGTTTACATCAACTTACAATAGTTTGTTATGATAATTAAGTGTTAGATTGAGGTGAGAGTATACATTAATTACCCATGGTTAGTGATATATATATAAAAAGGTGCGTACGAAAGAGTTTATTGATTTAATCTTAACATCAGGTGTGAATCCTTTTCTTTCTTCTGTATATTATGCAATGTGTATGCTTAAGTGCATAAAATCACAGGTTAAAATTTCAGGTGTAATATTTTTTTTTTAATTTCCTTGGAAAAAAATCTAGCTCCGCCACCAACTGTTATCTTGATCAAATGAAAATTTCAAAAATACAACAGCTTATTGAAAAAAATTATGATTAAATGTTTTTTTTAATTAAACCACCATACAATGTTTGGGCATGGTGTTGTATCATCAGTTTAGTTTATGATCA